GTGTTCAGCGTACGTCTGTCATTTGTAAACTTTGCGCATTTTCAACTTCTCAAGAACCACTGGCAGGGTTGGCCAAAAAAAAAAAAAAAAAAAAAACCAACAGGAAATGCTCGTATTTTTCAGGACATGGGAAATACTGATAATTCCTAAGAAATACTGGGAAATAAGAAATGGCTACCTACAGTATCTCAGGAATTGAATCATATTTGTTGGAGTATAGACGTAGTACACCTTATTGGCTAGGATAACTACCTGGTGTCATTTCACGATTAAAAATTTCTGGTTTCCAAGTAATTCATTCTATATAATTATAACACAGTATATTCATATACCAGTCATGAGTGTCATTTGTTTGATGCATGAGACGTGTATAAAGGTCCATAAAATGAACCCAGAGATCCCAATTGGGTTTTTTATGTAACCGAAGAAGGATATATAAGAAAATTGTAGATTATGTTGTAAATATCAAATCGAAGAAGAGTCCTTTCATTTCTACTCAAGGTATTTATCTCTCCAAACAGGGGCACAAACTGTCCAGAGCAATTTGTTAAAACAACATGACTGATTGTAATAAGTACAGTGTTTATAGAAAGATGAGAAGTTTGTTTTGTTCTTGCATTTGTGGCGGTGAGACGGGTTCGATCGCCGGTGGCCAGAGGTCTGTTGGTAGAGCGCCTGACTGGAGATTCTGGTCTGTCGCATATTTCTCCTCTCCTGTTGCATTTGGTGCCATGCCCTGGAAGTGAAAGGTGAAAGACCTTCCAGGGAAGAGCTTGGGTTAGTGTCTTCGGGGGCAAAGACCTTAAAGGAGGTGGGTAGGGTTGGGCCACATTGGGGGATCAAAAGATAACAGAAATTTATGGAGAAAAAATCCTTTAAAATCTTCTCCAGAACAGCAAAGCCATGGTTTGATATATTTATATGGAAGCATCTTCAGGTAGTGTAGATTCAAGATTAATTGTTCAAATCATGACCCCAGAGGGTAGGACGGATAGTGGATCAAAGGTTAACAAAGGGATATAAACTAAGCAAAAATCTTAAATCCTCTAAAGAATTGGCAAAGATATGATTATTAATATTATACATTGCGAAGTATTGTAGATTCAATTTTGTTTAAATCATGACCCTTGGGGTAGAGAGGCCTCAATATGTGATCAAAATTTTACATAAGAAAGACTTGGAGTATGGGGAAAATCTGTTGATGAAGTCACTCAGTTGTGGTCCATGGCTTTTTTTTTTGCATCAAATTTAATGGCCCATCATACCCCCGGTATTCTGATATCATTTTCCGTTTTAAGTTTTAGAGATTGCCCCTAGACGCTTATAAAATATGATACCGTTCTTGTTGAATAGGCTTTCCCCCTTAAGATCTTCCCCCCGGATAACTGGCTCTAGAGTAGGATTTCCCTCCGGAAAACTGTCTCTAGAGTAGGATTTCCCCCACGGAAATCCCACATCAGATTCAATTTTCCTGGGGTGATTTCCCCCAGAGCCAATCCTCCCAGTAAAATATCATGGCTGTACTTATGTATGAGGGGAAAGGGGTGACATATTGTGGCAAGTGTTCCTTCTTCAAATGGCGACCAGTTCCATGTAAACGTATGAAGTATGAAGAATTTCTTGAAAAATGAAAGCGCATATCACAGTAACTGTCCAACCAATTCTTTTGAAGCATTAAAATCTTATTCTATTCATCTGGTCAAACTGGTTTCTGAAAAAAATTGGTAAAAAGTAATCGGTTGGACAAATTTTTAACTGTATCCATGGAAACAAAAAGGAATTTTACTTAAAATGGATTTTTTTCTCCAATTGTATTTCAACCTACATTTATACATATTATTGATATGTATTTCTGGTGTTTAAATATCCAAAATAGCTACAGTTGCCATGGATCTAAAAATTAGTCATTTATTTCTAAAAATTTGAAATTCTGCAAAACTTTAAGAGTATTTGCGGCCTGTTTTCAAATCCAATATAACACCGCTGGGGTCGAGGAGACATCCTTATGCTTTAGCTTGCAAAAGCAAGGTTTCTTGTATTGTTTGTTTTTAGTTTTTCCCCCTTTGTGGAACTCGATTCAAATACTCACAAAATAGTGTGTGGAACCTTTAATAACATAAATTTTACAATTTTCTCACACAGTCTTTGTAAAAAGGATCGAACCTTATCGATAAAATATTGGGCCTTTTAGAGGACAAACAAGTTATCAAATCCCTAAAAAAAAAAAATAGCTCTATTGTGAGAGTTTCCCTCGGGGGAAATTCTACTCTAAGAGTACAAATCCCAGGGGAAAAGCCGGCTATGGGGGTAAATGCTTCTCTACAACATCGGTACCACATATCGGAATATACATGTAGGTATGATATGATAGGAATGTATGTATTTTTGATAAGGTAACGTGTCTAATTAAAATTCTTCCAAGGTGTGTGTGTGTGTGGGGGGGCACCATCCGTACGTTAGGTGCCCATGGTTTGTTGAAATGAAAAGCGAAAGATTTTTTTTATTTTGAGTAAAAAAAATGAAATCTGGTACACCAGCTCCATTGCTCTCAAAATACAAACAGCCTAGAAATGGATTAACCCATCAATACACTAGACTAGTAGGTTAAAGGCAGAGATTTTAAGCACCACCTTCTAAAATACCTTGTCTGTGGACCCCTGTCAGTCAAGTGAATTAAGGTACATCATTGGGTGCTAGAACTTGATTGACATTTACTTACTAGTCCCTGTTTATACCCTGTACACCTTGTTTGGCACTCGTGGTGACCTTCAAATTAACTTTTGATCCTTTGATATTCACCACACATGGTATAAACAATAGAGAAGCTGTATTACTATCGAATTTTTAGCTTGATAACATATGTATACAAACCTTAAGTATTTGAAATAATTATATTCTTTATGATAATAAAAATATATATCAAAATTTGGTATAACTTTTTTTTCAAAGCTCAACAAATACTTTGAATAATATTTTTTTTAATGGGTGAGGATGCTTTGACACACATACAATTACAAATTACTAAAAATCATTGAGATGAAACTTTATTTACAATTTTAACGGAAAGATACTTTAAGGAATTACGCAGTGCATACGCTACAGGCAAAAACTGCCATATTCTGTGCATCGTATTAATCGATTTCTTGTATATATACAAGTTGTATGAAAATGTAGGAAAATAGATTGCGGGCGTAATTGTGTGATTTGTTTTGGGAAAATGAATAGAACCCAACAGATGTTCCATGTCTTTATGCACCTTCAATTTTGACATGAAAAAAGTTATGGAGGCTTATTAGTGCCAGGTAATTTCTTTTAAAGTTGGTTTTGTTTTTGTTTGTTTGATTGTTTTTGTTTAACGTCCCTCTCGAGAATTTTTCAGACATATGGAGACACCACCATTTGCTGGTGTAGGGCTGCAAATTTAGACCTACATGTATACTCGGCACTTAAGGCAGGTTTCCACGTCCCGCTGTGGGATTCGAACCCGCGACGCTAGGAGCAACTCCTTCCTCCGCGACTCTAGAGCAAACGCTCTAACCACTGTGCCAGGCGAGCGAAATTTGGTAATTTCAACTTTAATCTTGACTTTTTTCAATTTTAAAGTTGGTAATTCGAACTTTAAGCTTGACTTTTCCAACTTTAATCTTGGCTTTTCTAACTTTGTACGGCTTTATGCGATTATATTCATATGCTGTTGGCTGGACTCGTGTTGCTTTTATACATGTGATTACAATGGAAAGAAACGATTTAATAATGAAGTTATAATGAAAGAAGGAATGATTTTATTGTGTTTTCATATACAGAATTGATACATTAGTTCAGATGTATTTGTAGCATGGAAATATAGTGTTGATTCATCCTACATATCAAACACCTAATTATATAATTTCATTTGTTTAAGCTTATTTTCTCACACAAAACAAATGTCTGATCTCCTAAATAATCGTGGTTGTAATCCTGTCATGTACGGCACGTGCTGTATGAAGGTCAAGGTAAAAATTAATGGACACAGTTTAATTGCTCATCATTTTGTTTCAGTCTATTAAATTTGCTTTAAGTCTATTACGTTTGCATTAATAAAGTTTGTAATAATTCAAAATAAAGGAAAACAGCTAAGGAAAGGGGTAAGAAAAGCTCAAATTTAAGTTGGAAAAGCCAAGATTGAAGTTGGAAAAACCAAGAATAAAGTTAAAATTTCCAAGTTTAAATTTGGAATTACCAACTTTAAAGTGGGAAAAGTCAGCTTTAAAGTTTGAAAAGCCAACTGTAAAGTTGGAACCAACTTTACCCACAACAACAACAAAAACAAACAAACAAAACCAAAAAAAAAAAAAAAACAAAAACAAAAACAAAAAAAAGAAAAAAAAAAAAAAAAAAAGAAAGAAAAAAACCCCCTAGAAATTGAAATAAAGCTGCATTTTTTTTTTCCAGAATGCGGCGAACATTTCGTTTCCCAATGATGCACTAGAGGATTTCATTAAAAATTTATTTATGATAATTGATAAATGTCTAAAGAACAACATTCTTTACTTTATCCAAGTATTGAACAGGCTACAGTCTCTGCTTTCAGCTATCCAAAACTTTTTATTGGCCAATATCAGTCGATTGAAAATAAACATTTTTGCACAAGGTGGTGACGCAAGTAAGTTTGTACATAGACCTAAGGTCTATAGTTTGTAATACAAAGTCTGTTTTGCACTTCACAGTTTATTTGTGGATAATTTTAGATTTGCATGCGGAGTTTTCTGTAAAAATATATATACCCTGGTGTTATTTTTATTCGATTGTCTGGCATAAGTTGCCAATGTTTTGTTTGCAGGCGAGTCGAAAAAATCATGCCTTAACTCAGTACATTTGTACCTGCTTTGACACAGTTTGAATAATCTGGAATGTAAGAAAGTTTTAATCAGTAATCAATTTTAGAATTTACCTACTCTTGCTTTGAAAAGAATTCAAAGAATTATTGTAAATTTATTTTAGATTTATTGATTGTTAGGAGTACGTGTACAAATAAATGGTGAACTAAAAAGGCATAATTGAATTCAAATATTTGTCAGGAAAGAAACATATAAGGTTTATTGATCGTTTGTTGCTTCTCAGTGTCTTTAAATGTTTATTTTCAATGGTTCTTTTCTGTAAAGATCGTCTGCAGCGTCCTTGTTTAATTTTTGATATCTGCAAAGTGATAAAAAAAACTTATTTTAAGCAAGTTGTTTATGCAAAGTTGAACAGTGTGTGAAAGATTTTGACTGGTCGTCTGTTTATAGCACCATTTTCTAAAAATCAAGTGAAAGAAACTTTGAACTCTTCCTTTGTAACAGTTAAAACAAATCATTTGCTCAGAGTAAAGTGCAAGCTATTTATTCATACGTATAATTTGGCCAAAAAAGTGGTCTCTATTGTTTGTCACATAGAATGAAATAATGATGGATGTTTTCTACATACTTAATGAAAAATAAAACGAAACATGCAATGATATTGCACAAAAGACTACATTAATTTAAGACACAATTAAGACGAAAACGCATTTTTTTTTTTAAATGCGATTTCCAATTTTTTTTTCTCTCGTAATTTTGAGGATGGAATTGGTTTTATTAATTCATGCAAAATTGAAGTTAAAAAAAAGTAGTTGTAAAGAACTTCTGACTACAAGAATGGTCACTCCGATAATTTCAAGTTCACATATAGAAGTATTTCTAAAATTCTAACATTTTCATTTCATTAAGAAAAACAAATTTCCTTTTCTTTTATTACTTATGAAAAAATATCTTGAATATATGTTTATTTTTTATATATATATATATATATATATATATATATATATATATATATATATATATATATATATATATATATATATATATATATATATATATATATATATTCTTTTTATAATACAAGAATTTTTATCAGTTGATATCTATTCAAAACCCCTGGTAATGCATGCTGATTTTTTGTCTTGGAACATCTAATGGTAATTACATATTAATATAATTTTAAATTAAGAATATCTTGAAAAATCATCAGTAGGTAAGTTACGTTCGTATGTCCTTAAGAAAATTTGAAGTATCAAATAAAATTAATATCTAGCAGCTGGGCAGAAAGTCATTGAAAACCAATTTCTCTTTACTTTGTGACTTAAATGTGTTAAAAAGTAAACTTTGACGAAATTCTTCCAAACAATGTCATCAAAGTGTGACCATCATTAACATAATTATTCCAACAAGATTCTAAATGAAGCGAATTAACAGATAAAATTCTGCTGTAATGGTCGAAGCTTAATCTAATAAGGAAAGAGTATTGAGTTATGCATGTATTACTATTACTTTTTCTCGTCTCGAACATATACATTCACAGCACGCTTTTTAAATACTTTAACATACTCACCTTGATTTTCTGTTCATAACTGTAAAAAGATTGATTGGTGTCAAAAAATGATAGCAAAAGAAAAGGATAACATTACTTTTTTGCAATAAGAACTATTATATATGTATCCTTGGAAAGGGTTTGAATAAACGTACGTTCTGATGGTATTGTACATAAATAAAACAAAGTCCCTTACAGTATAGGCTGTAGTTCTGTCAAAATTATCTAAGCGGAACAAAATGCCAATTCGCATACCAAAAAAAAAAAATTTAAAAAATCGAGGAAAAAAAGTCCAGAAAAACATGTAGACAGAAAGACTGAAACAGAGGAAACATATAGTCCATCGACTCTCCTTCGGTTTCACCGGTGGGGAACTAATAAGTACTTTTGCGCCTGTCTGGACCCATGTCTTGTCGATTTGCCGAATTTATATAATCCTAAATTATCGTACATGTACAAGTACAAGCCATTGGAATCCCACTTTAACGCATAGGTTGTTGTCATACGAATGCATTGGAGCATCATTTTAACTAGTGAGTTAGTTGTCATATACATGTAAATAAAACATAAATTTACTGAGTATCACCAACTCAGTGTTACATGTAGACTATAGTTACCATGTAGTTAATTAGATATTTACATTATTGCATATTTAGAGATAAAGGTTGTTTCTGATCCTACTAATTATCTCGATAAAATATGTTCAAATCAAAGGCTGTAGTCCCCCTCTCCCCCCAAATCTTAGACTGTTTAAAGCCACTAACTGCTTTAACATGTAATGATATCCAGGAATTTATATGTACATGTATAAACATTTATTATCATTTTTAAGTATATGTTAAAGATTTTTGATCACGTAAAAGTGATTTGAAATACATGTAATATTTAATTAAACTAAATATACTTTTAATTTTAAAAAATACGTGGAAGATAACTTTTAATAACTTTAAAATACGTTGAAAATAGACACTGAGTATCTTGAATACTTCTTTATAGAATTTAATCTGAAACTACTAAACATTTACTTGCGAAAAAGCTGAAAATCAAAAGATCCTAAAGTATTAATGTATTGATATTTATCTAGAGGAAAGGAAATTCACTGCAAATTAAAAAAAAAATTCGATTGATTGATTCGTAGATTTCTTCGTGTCGATACCGACTCAACACGCGTGAAGACGTCATTCTGGAATGACAATAAATTATAAAACAGAAGGACACCGGCATAATTAAAAAATCGTACTTATTTATACCTTGTTCATTCTAAGCATTTCGCAATATACATTTACTCACTTGTCGTCAAAATAAATGTCCAATTTCATTAATAAGTCATTTTTTTTCTTTTTACAATCAAAATTCCTTGTCATAAAATTTGAATGCAGCTTATTGTCTCTAACAGTTTCTCTAACAGTGTTTAATCTATGTTAAGTGAATTTTTTTTTTTTTGCTTCTTTTAAAGCAACAGCAGAACTTACTCCAGATAATAACCATGGACGCAATGTAAGTCAGTGTCGCCGAAACTGCTATAACCGAAGCCGTCAGGAATATTGCAAAAGCAATGTAACACTTCTCTGTAAGAAAAAATAGTAATTAATTCATACTTAGATTTGTTACTATTTCCTTGTGTATTGAAAGCGGTTTTTTTTCTTAGTAACAAATCTTGAATTTCAGCTGCCTTGAGTAATTCAATTTTCTTTTTACCAGATTCACACCGAGAAGCCCCGTGGATCGCCCATGTGTTGTTGGAAAGACAGACCATCCTCACTGCCATTTCCTCATGGAATTCAGGTGAGGATGTTGAATTTTTGCACCTGAAATGAAGTACCGTTCCAGGGTAGGCATACTTTGGTACTGACTGGTTTGTATCAACGTAGGGCACAGAGGGAGGAGGACCGCAAGCTAAAATGTTCAAGCATTTGAATTGTCGCACAACATGTCAATATTTTTTTGGAAATACCAATTTTTTAAATACAAAATAGGGAAAGGTTTTATTTTTTGGTTTATGTAAAAAAGATCTAAATAAATTTACTTGTAATGTGATAACATTACAATAATGTAATTAATCTGTACTTAGTTTCAGATCATTCATGTTGAAAAACAAAATAGACCTGGGGCCCGTTTTACAAAAGAACTTACGACTAAGATCAAAAACTTTATTGATTGTGAAATCATAAAGAACTTGGGTTTCTGTTAAAAAATGATTTGCATAAAATTATTTTGTCTTAATTCTTTTCAAAAAGATTAAAACCATTTTTAAATTAATGTAAAAAAGAAAGTTATTCCCATAATAACATTTTGATCTTAGTCGTAAGTTCTTTTTGTAAAACAGGTCCTGGAATCTACAGGATCTCGTTAGATTAAATAATACCAGTTCTGCGTAATGAAAATGTACTTACCATCGATTTCGTGCAATTTAATTAGAATTAGTACGAGTAGATTGGAAAATAAAGTGCAGTACATTCTCATAGTAGTCTTTTTCAAATAAGATACAAAATTAACAAAGTTTGCGGATGTCCGCTACATTTCCTGGGTCTTTAAACTTATACATCTGCCTCGTACTTTATGCTACTAAGTCCTAAAACATGCTATTCGTATTTCTGTTGTTGTATTGTGATCACTTGTTTACTTGCTTATTAAAATATCAGTTGGCATTCAGTCTGATTCCATAATCTCGTACATAAACCAAAAAAATATTGAAAATGAATACACCTCGACAGTTAGATAATGTAAGAATAAACCATTTTTGTTCATCATTAGGCATGCTTCCTTCTCTTCGTTGAAAAAAGTCCAAAAAAGATTTTTAAAAATTATGTAATTAGTCTAGTTATAACGTCGATATTGAAAGAATGCAAAAAAGTCCCATATCTGTTTGATTAGTATTAATTAAAGTTTATGTCTAAGAAGGCTAAAATATATTACTGATCTATATTCAATAATTATGTACGTCTATATTCTTCCAATTTATGACTTCTCAATACAATTCACCAATCAACTTTTGTTCTGCTTTATTTCTATACACTATATATATTAATGTTTCTCTATTTTCAATGTACATGTGAGGGTCTTCAAAGCAATAAAAATATCCTAACTGAATATTGGCGTGTTTTGTCATTACAATTTCAACTGAATGATCTGGTTTTTTAATCACAATTTAAAATTAATGATCTAGCCCGTTTTATTATCACAATTGCATCTGAATGACGGCATATTTCAACTTAATGACGGCGTGTTTTATTACTACATTTCAAATACACTGTTCTAGTATGAGCAATCGCATATAGCAATACGAATTGTAAAATTCATAAATTATATATGACTCTCTTTGGGAGGGTTGAATGTGAAACAAGGATCAATAAAAAATTTTTTAAATACATTACCATGCGAGAGTTAAATTATGCGAGGAGGGAAAGCCTTTCATACTAAATTAACAGTAAAAAAATATGGTTATAAATGTTTAAATACATACATGTAATCATACACGGATTAGTCTATGTGATGTTGGGGGCTTTCATGCCAAATTAGCAGTAAAATAAATTATGTACAAGAAATAGGGAGGAGGAGGGTCCCCCCCCCCCCCCGGTCTGTCGATGCGACGTGGTTGCTTTTTTGTAATTGGATGTGTTCTATTGTCTAAATAAAAAAGTGAAAATGAAAATAAGGTTGCAAAAACTCTAAATATATTCAAATAAATATCACTATCTTTTCGTTTCGACTTTATCGAAAAAAAAGTTTCGACATCACTTATCCACTCGGAGCGCCTCGGATGGCTCGTACCTCGCATATGTATGGAGGCTCGCGGAGTTAGCCGAGGATTGCCGATAATCACAACTTCTCGGGCTTTTCCGACAAGCGCGAATGGGAACCACCTAGCTCTGCCGGCAAGGCCCGTGAAGATGCAATATTGCATCAACGCTAGCATGACTTTGTGCATTACATGACACAATTAATGATATCCTAGTACATGTACACCACGTGACTATTAACAAGAAGCCGAAAGAGTTTTCAGAGTCAATCAAACATTTTTTGTTAAATTTAATAATATTAATGTTATGCAGTCATATTCTAATTAATAAAACTAATTTATATTCTAAGAAATGAAGTTTATAAAAAAAAAGTATTTATGAACCAATTAATTGGATTTTGTAATGTAGATCTACTATTTAAAATTAAAAAAAAATCTTTTTATTTCCCTTTCCGCACCTCATACTTTATCCTCAAAATCTGAAAAATACTGAATTTCAGGCGCGTGAAGGTTCATGTTACAAGTACTTATTCAGTGGGAATATTTTAATAAATTAGGATATAGATCTACCCTTTATCTCTTTTTTTATTTTCAAATTATAGGTTAAAACAGATATACCATACATATTTTAATTGTTTTGTGGTATAATATAATATAATATAATATAATATAATATAATATAATATAATATAATATAATATAATATAATATAATATAATATAATATAATATAATATAATATAATATAATATAATATAATACTTTCATGTAAATTAGTTGAATCTGAGTCGTCGAGAAAAATTTGTTAAAAAACACTAGTACCCGCTGAATAATGAAGCCACGCCCTCCAGCGTAGAATAGTTAACATTCTTTGACGACGGGTGTTATTCCCAAAAATATTGACTGCGCAGAATTCATGCGTGCAAGGTTCAATGTAATATGTATTTGTATAAAGCATTCAGTATAATATTAAATATTTCATGTAGTTGAGTGTAACATTGAAAATTTTAACCCCTCGAAAACCATTGTCAACCTCGGCTGCGCCTCGGTTGACAATGATTTTTTGGGGTGAAAGTTTTCAATGTTACACTCAATTACATGCGGTATTTATATAATACACCTGATCATGTGAACAAGTCTGAGCCAATCAGAGAGTTTGGAATGAATGGGAAAAATAATAATATAATATATATTATATTGTAAAATACACTGTATTTGTTTCACGACCACGGGTAACCTCAGTCGACTTCATCTCGTGAGGTTTAACCCCGGGTCATGAAACCCGAACCACGTATTCACACAATATATTCCACTAAACAGCTTATCTGATACACACTGTGTTATAAAGTACTAGTATTATTATCTAAGGGCTGGGGACATACGTTTTATTTTTACAAATTAAATTGAATAATTTATATCAATTGATAATCGGCATGTTACTGAAATAAAATATTGAAGTTTCATTTTCAATCAATCTACGTAAATAAAAAAGTATTGATTATGAAGTAGGTTCGGACAGTATAGGGATATGAACTTTCGACACGAGGTTGTAAGTTGCTAGCACGGCGATTCTCTTCAGTGGGTCAGTATGGGTCCATGACCACAGCGCATTATTTTTATGGGTCTTGTTTGACGTTCCCCTCTCACCTGGAAATCCAGCAGACAATTTATAGTAAATCAATAACTCATCTCATCACCCGATGACAACAGAGAAAGTCCGTGATAGCCACTGTGACCAAAGCTTAATGATTAGATAGGCTGAATGTATAATATATCATTATTGTAATTATCTCCTCTAAGTGTAACGCTGTACAAGCTTGCACTTTCTCTAATTTCATGTCATCAGAAGTAATAAAATTGTACTGAAAGGAATAAATTTGGAAGTCAAAATTAATAAACAGAAGCATCATTTTTATTAGGTGTTCAAGACAAATTTTCAAAACATGGTGCCTACCTGTTAATTTGATAACATTTAAGAGTGCAAATCCATGGAAATAGGTTATGACAGGTTAATTACATGATTGTATATGGCATGACTAGTATTTCATGAATATTCCGATCAATTGATTAAATTCAACATAAGAAATAATCATCAAAAACATTTAAAACATTACAAGAAATGAGATGCATCGGCTTGTTCATTACTGTGAATTAAACACGAACTCATTTCCTACAGAATTTGTGTCAGACCGCCAGATCACATGCCTCATATTGTCTTCTCTTGCATTAATCTTGTCAGTCAAATTCTTCATATAGCGACGACAGTTAGTGATCAGCTGTGGGCATTGTTCTGGTGGCCGCAAGAGAGAATGGACTGCTAATTTTTTATTGTCGTAACGTTGAATTGATATGGTCAACAGAAAATATGGAGATTAAGAATTGCCGATTTAAACCTTTTCGATCAAAGGAATTTTTTTGAAAAACGCAGAAAAAATAACCAAAAAGATGTCCAATCTCAAGGATTCAAAGCCAGCGGAAACAAAGTGGAAGCACATGTTTGTAATGGCTGTGATGTCTACCTTTATATTTGCTGCTATCTTCACCATGAGACCCACCCTTATAATACACCCAGTGGTGGCGATGGGAGTACTTCAAAGAACTCGCTACTTACAGGCTTCGGTCATCAAGGCCCACCCAGAACATATCCTTACTGAAGAAGGTAAGTTTGTTTTCTAATTCAGTGTTTTGTGATTCATTATGTTTACTTAACAACAAAGTTTGTATTTAAAGACAATTTTAAAGATAAACTATAATTATCAATTTATGAATTTAGATTAGATTTATATAAAGAGCAAAATATCATTTACGGAGCTTTACCTCTATCCCAAGCCTTTGTGGAAAACGTGATGTAACAAAAACATGGCATGAAAAATGATATTATACACCAAATGTCTTAATTATACGCTAAGTTAAAAATAACCTGCATACATGCACACAGTTTTAAATTATCCCCTAAGTAGACTATCATACGATGATGATTTGTGGTAATTAAACCTAATTCCATTGAATACACAAGCATGTAGCAACAGTTTTAAAAGTTTTAAAAACTTAAAAAAAAGGAATTTCATTATGCTCGACCTTGCATCTACAAAAGAGGGGGGGGGGGGCAACATCTAAATGAAAATTTACAATAGCAAAATATAATATTCAGAAAAAAGCCCCCCTCGCGTTTTACGGACCTGAATACACTATACTTGTACATGTATTTGAACGACAGAGAAGTTTATTTGCTGACTGGGTTACAAGTAACCCCTCTCTTATGACAGATGATCCTCGACATGTAATTTGAACATTGTTTTAAAACTTCATCTGTTCTTTTAAAATTTCCTTGGAGTAAGAATTTTTTGACAAAGGACGGGCATAAAATACTGAAGTAGATCTATAAATCACATGTATCAGACCATTGCATGTTAAAACACACGTATTTATGACAAATAACAAGTCTATCAGACATGAATTGTTCCAGGTTCTACGCGATGTATATTGCAATACAGCCCACAAAGACAGCATTCGATCATGATTTTTTTTCTACCTGACCAGCATAATTATGCGTATATACATGTACATGTATATGTAGGCAATTATATATATAACTATTTTTTTCTTTTGGCTTACAGTTTCTAGAAATATTTTCGAAACATATTTCATTTTCATACTACATCAATTATCCAAAATATTTGATGATGCATGGACCTAAGTAAGTGTTTCCTTTTTAGGAATTTTCTTGTGCAAATTGAGTTGATATGAAAATATTTTATTGTATAAATATTATACAAAAGATTCGAACACAAGTTCTAACAACTTCCTAGGTTCTCATCCGAAATGGTTACGACTGTCGGTGTCTATAGAAAAAAACCCTGATATATACAAATAGGTTTGTGTTATACATATATTCATTACATGTTAAATATTTAACTTATTTGAGGTCTGGTTTTAGGCTGTAATAATTACATAAATTTACTAGCATCTTTTATATTATTTTTTGTACCGATTGAAACATTTATTGATTGATTTCAACATTTTGTGATTCATCTCCCAAAAAGTAGGCGTCAATCAATAATAGTTGATTTAATATCTGATTCAGTAAGACATAAGTTTCTAAATAGTTCCTCCCTGGCATGTTCGTACATTGTATTTATTACAAAAAACAAATGACACGCGTTTTCTGGTGTACCGCATGAACAACTAGGACTCTCAATAATATTTCTTCTAAAGAGGTTATAATTCAAAATACAGTTTTATCTTTTAGAATGTATGATGTTAAGTCCTTTGCTTCCATGACAAAAATTAAGAGGGTGATTGCCTTTTTTATGTGTATTGTTTTAAAAAATACGAAAAGGTAAGCTGTTTCTTGTGATTATACGTAGACTGTTCCATTGAATAACTGCATCCGGAGCAAATTTCTAGTCTGAATTTAGGAAAAGTGTAGTCCTCTCGATTGCTTGTGTTGTAATTTGAATTTACACTCCTTATTGAAAGAAAAAGTTATTTGAATAATAGGGTACGAAATTGTGATGTACTTTAAACATACATGTAGTACATGCATTTAGTTTTGCTACTTTAGGTCTCTCTGCAAGAGGTTTCCAACCTGTTTTTGAATACAGTGAATCTCTTGAAGCTATAATGGGTAACCCTGTAATTATTCTCACAGGATAAAGTTGCACCTTTTCCAGTTTTTGAACATCTCGTAGCGAACACCCCTCCCAAACTCCAAACTATAGAGCAATATTCAAGTAGTGGTCTAGTTAAAGTAATTTGGAAAGTAATTTGGGATAGTTTACAACTAGCAATATTGTATTTTAGCTTTTGTAGGACACCCAATCTTTTTATTTTATTATTTATGTGTTCAGACCAGTTAAGATCTTGGCTTAATAGTAGTCCTGGGTGTTCGTGAGAGGTTACGCAGTCTAATCTACATTGCTGAAATCGTAGTTTGGAAAAATAATACATGCAATTAGATCTTAATGTAAAATGTAATGATTTTCTTTTAGATGGGTTGAATTTCATTAGCCATTTCTATGAACACCTATCAAGTATCTCTAAATCATGATTCAAGATGATTTATTCAATATTTGCGACATTATACGATAACCATTGTGACACTGTATTGATCAGAGAGACGAAATATTCCGTAGTCAAATCTAGTATAAAACAAGATTGTACAATTTGTATGAAACACGTCAGGAACCCCCCCCCCCCCCCAGTGATAAGTTATATTTGCTAACAAGGTCATTATAACGACCACAGAATTTTCGAAATGCTGAGCTTAAACGAGGTTGTAGTAATCCCTGTACCGTCAACTTTTCTCTCGGTAGCTTGTCTCGGTTTAAAAATTGATCGTACTCTGAGCAAGCTCTTGAGGATCGAATAAATTGGGAGACATAAACACCATATGCAGGTGACAGCTAAATATTACTACATATATATACTTGAAAATTATGAAAGTTGACGAAGGAAAAGCTGAAGTCATCTTGGTCTTGGTTGCTTTGAGAAGCAATTTTGTAAGAGTTTTTTGTTTGTTTGGTTTTTTGTTTTGTTTTAGAATCTACATCTGATTTACACCACTTCTAGAATAGAAAATAGTAAAACATGATAGATATATTTTTTTGGAATTATTAATTTTTTATGGATCTTTTAACCAAGTATTGTTTGATACAATGATTATACATAACATATCTAACTGTTAAATCTTATTTGCAAATGATTTTAATAATCATGATGAGAAGGCATCAAAGTACTAATCTGAAAATGAGTAATTACTAACTAAAAAGTCAACAAAAACTTTTTCACGTTTGTATTCATATTTAAGGAATGGATTTATAGCGACCCAAGTTATACTGGTATAACCTGGGTTGGGGTAGTTTACGCTTTATTAACCGCAAAGCTGTTCCAACCCAGGTTATACCAGTATAACTTGGGAAGCTATTAAATTTATTCCTTATAATTTAATTTTCCATCAATAAGTGCAGAAAATAAGACAATTTCTCCTTCAAATATGCCTTCAAATTGTGCATATTTTAAATGTGACGTCAAGAGGATTGGTACGCTTTTGACGTTTGAGTTGGTGTGTAGGATTGTTGTTTTTGTTCTCAATCAGTGTGGTAAATGCTTTGTTTCAATTTATGTAAACGAAACGTAAAAAGTAAAATTATTTTCAGTCTTGGTGTGAAATTATAATTAAATTCGGCGACAAAATATAAAAAAAATTAAAGCCCAAGAGAACGATTATTCATTATATTTTTTCCTCGCTTTGGTTACAATGGAAAGAGCTTCAAGAAGGCGTCAGACTTATTTTTGATATGACAAACGTGTCTACATGCAACAAATACCAGGTTTACACTGCTACATTCTGTATGTTTGTCACGTATATTTTTCACCATAACTTTCCAATGCTTACATTATACATAGATGAACAGAATGTACCTGTGTATGACCTGTTAAAAAATTTGTTTATTGTCACTCAAAATGAGTTGACTGATGGCAAACCTAGAATTGTCTGAATACACCTTTACTCAAAAGAGTTCATCAAGAATGGACCTTTAAAATGTGAAGATAACGAATAGTAATCTTCCTCCAAAGTCCATTTAAACAATTCAAATTACATATGAGCAGAGGTTGGATCAGGTGCCATAGAGGAGTATGCATCCCCTATCGACTGGTCACACCCGTCTTGTGTTCCTATGATAAGGTTAACAAAAAGATCCGGAGTCAATTCAGTGTAAAAACACTTTGTTAAGGCCAGACAATTTGTATAAAGGACGGTAGTCAACATTCGACCCAACGACAGACTGCATTTTTGAAAAAGATTATTCTATCGACCTAGAATTTGCGACATGTTGACTTTAAACTAGATTGTTGAAATAAATGTATCATTAACTTATTTGTCAATAGCCTGTCTTGTTTCAGAAATTGTTCGTACGTACGTAGAACCTGCTCTTGCGTGTCGAATCAACTGGGAGACATAAACTCATATGCAGATTATAATGGTATATTGCTACAGGAATAAGGGAATTTGACGATAGAAAAAATTGAAATCAGGTTTATCGCAGAGTTTAGATATCAGTTTGCTATCAATGTTTTTCTCTAGTAAAGACTACGTGGTGTCTTTTATTTCGAGTTCTATCAAATTAAATGAAAAGACAACTGTATCATATCTCTTACATATATATCACATCATTTAATATTCAAGAAAATCGTATAGAGACCTGAACGTAAAGAATTTGTGAGTACAAACAGCAATGTATGACCGAGGATGAGGTTTTTTATGTTCGTATGATTGTTTTTTTGTCGGAAGTAAACGTCAGGAAGTGTCACATCAAATAATTTGCATGTCAATGAACTTTTCGGGTCACTGAGAATAATTCACGCCAATTGTACATCAAGACTGTAAATACGAATTTTTTTATGCGTTTCCATCTGATAAATAAAAAAAAAGATTTAGATAAATTGAAACAAAGAATTTGCTAAATTTGCTTAATTAAAAAAAAATAATTTAGTTGTAACATTGATAAGTTGTATTATAACAACAATAAAAAAAACCAAAAAAAAAAAAAAAAAAAACCCCGCCGGCTCCAGAATATAATAAGTATTTTTCATACCTATGAGATCGAGCTTACAAAAGTAATATACACTTGACCACATATATTGGTATAAAAGAATGGAATTGTAAATAACGTTTTTTAGTTTTCTCAATCATATTTATTTTTTCATTAAGTAATGATATATTCAGTACTTCTTGATCCAATTTGGAACTTTAAGTAGTGGAATGATTCTCGTATCATTTGTGCTCGTCTTTTGATTTTGTTTCAAAATTTATTTTACCGTATTGAGTGAGACATTATATCTTGTCATAGATAGCACTGATTGTGTACTTGTACGGCATGTTATCTAATGTTTACATTAACCCGAGGTCAAAAAATGACAAGATCAATCAGTTCAAGACAATGATGTAACATATCATTCATTATATTTGCATTTTCGATTTAATGAGTAACATAACTTATAATTGTTAGCAACGTAAATATATACATTTTATGTACCTATAGAAGAGCATTATGTATGCATTTTTTAAGTACATTGTTTGTATGGATCATTTCAATATTGTGCACCTTAATGATCCACGCATTGTTCTTAAGTTGTATAGTTCTCAGTGCCTAGAGCATCATGTATGCAGTTTTCAAGGACATTGCATGGCTCATTATTTAGAGGTACTTTTAACGTTATGCACCTGAGAGATCCATACATTGTACACACATTTTAAAGTTCTACAGAACAATGTAAACAAATAACAATTCATTGATCATGAATAGATTGTGAATTTTGTTAATTTAGCCATACTTAAGACATAAAATTATTACACGAGTGGATTTCATGGATTTTGTACGAATTTTCTTCTTTTCGCTGTTAATTATTACGGCATGTTTTGTACTGATTCGTATTATGCCTAATTATGTGTTTCTTGGATATACTATTACTCTTAGAATTCCAGGTTTGTAAATTTTTAACATAAAAAAAATACGTTCTTGAATTTGTCAGTCCTAAGGATTAATGCACGCATAAGAAAAACGGAGAAAAAACAAAAAGAAAAAATGCTCAAATGTTTGTGAACCCATTGGAAATTGCAATGAGACGTTTCACGGATATTAAAGTATGATTCAATTTTTTTCCCCTAAAGTAAAGTACTGTTGTTTCATTTGTTTAATTATGTGGTCATTTTAAATGAATGAAAAGTTTTTGCTTGATGGATTGTAATCAAAGAACAAAAATAGTTTCTCTTGCGTGAAAGTGCTTTGATCTAGGCCTTTTTAAAAAAAAAAGATTAAATAGACATTTAAGTGAAGAAATTATATAGAGTAGGGCTATAATGCTTTAATAATAAAATATTTTACAGTGATTACAGAAAATTCAGACTATTACTTTTATATTCCTCTCAAACAACCGGCCAAACTAACATGATAAGATTCTTGTGTGTTTTTGGGCAGATTGTTTCTTTTTCAGTATCTTTTCTCCAATTTGATACAATTGTCATACGCGAATTTTCATAATAATTAACAAGGTACATGTAGATGATAGTATAAAAATATTTGTATAAATATATTTTCCTCATGTACAAAATTTTATTCATAATTTACTTCGATTCTGCGGAGAATAGGTGCATTCTCTCAGTTTTGCCATTTTAGTTTTTTCGGCCTGTTTTTCTGTCAATTTTCTATTTCAAAGTCGATGATTATTATCTGAAATCTTCAAGTACTGGCAACATGAATATTAATATTTGTACGATCGAGATATGTACGTTCCTGCAGTTCACAGTGTTTAATCGATTGGTAGTATACAGAAGTAAAAGGTACAAAAGATGTAACTTTTTTTTAATTATTGGTCTTTGTTATCAGGAAAGGAATGTAATTTAATAATCTGTACTTATGAACTATATTTACTGGAGTATCTACTGAATTTTACTTTTCTTTTCGTAGTAGATATATTTAAAGGCAACCTTAAGTGAACAGGTATTGTCTTTTAAATGTGCCGTTTACTGATTTTTATTTTATCCTAAAAATAAGTACACTTCTTTTTAATATTCAAACAAAACGTCAGTAAACCACAAATGCATTCATTTTCATAGACATACTTAAGTTTTTCAACTCTTTTTTTTTTGTCAATTGAATAAGTAAATGAAGATACCTTGTGACTAATTTAATTGAATGACTATTTCAGTGTGGACAGAAAACTCTCAATACGTAGTAAAAGAGAAAAATGAAGAGAAAAAGCATAATTGCACGACATAATTTCCATCGAAGAATATAACATCACTATTAATACATATCACTGCCTTTGACGTAGACATCTAACGACCATTTCCTCTTGTCATCTAGCATCTCTTTCTCAAATACTAGCGTGAGTCAGAATTCTCATATAAAAGGAAATACTAAAATGTTTTCAATCCAGACTATCACTAAAATCTATCTTGACATTTTGACCGTTTAAATATAATGAGATTCAGGATCTGTCGTCGAACCATTTAGCATCTTTGTAGCAACTATATGTACTACAATGCAGTATCGATTGGTACACTTTAAATCATGACCACAGCATCATTTATTGCTCCTTTATTATCCGACCTTTTTTTTACATTCCCATGAGACAGAATTTATTCAAAAACCTCTTCTCATGAAGAAAACTCATACTGCAACATCACAAGCATATAGTGTAAATGTCTCCCAACTGATTAAATACGCAAGAGCATGCTCTGAACACAATCAATTTTTAAACCAACGCAAGATACTGACAAATAAGTTGAAGTTTCAAAGATTTCAACACCTTTTAAAGTAAGCGTTTTGCAAATTCACCGGCCATTATAATGACCATGTTTGTAAACACGACTTACCATAGTATTTTGTATTTTGTCTGACATGTTTCATAACATTTGTTAGGTCATTGCTTTTAAACTAAATTTGACTCCATATAGTACCTGATCAATGTGACCGATCAACAGGGGATGCTTACTCCTGGGCACCTGATCCCACCTCTGGTGTTTTCAGGGGTCCATGTTTTTGCCCTGTTCAAGATTCGTTTTGTTTACTGAATATATGAGATTGAAAATTTTTTCCCCTATCAATATATCTTTTTTTATTGCCTATAAAGTTGGGTTATTCAGAATTACAGTATTTAAAGCCTCATATCTCAATAAAAGCCAGGATAATATGTTTATTAAAATACAGTTCGGCTGTTCGATGACGTATCTTCCTTAATATTTGATATCATAACTGGATGATTTGACAATAGATAATTATGAAATCTGTGTTTACCGACAGCTGTTGAAATGCATTCTATTGATGATAGTTTTATTGTTATCAAAAACCTATTTCAATCTCTATCAATTTGTCGATTCCTATTTCATGTCGATTTTGCTCTATTGTCATTTTCAATGAGTAAACTTACTGTATATCACTCACACTGAAGTGCTAAATTCACTATAAGCTTTTAAATAAAATTACAGCAAAAATAAGGATATATACCATAACTATACTAAAAGTGTATTTTTTACAAATTCCATTTCAGAAAAGTTACAATCAACGATCCTTAATGAGAAAACCACAAACAGTACAGAATATTCAGAATATATAGTCCCATTAACAAACCAAACAATGTGCCAAACATATCCAGACACAAACGATTGGACTTTTCAGTGCAGCGTACCGTGCGAGGAAATGAAACTTACTGCAATCAAGACAACAAAGATTGACGTGATCAAGTCTTGCTCGATGTTAGAGGAAAGTGTAACATGGTCGCAGATAGCGAATAGGACATTGTTTCACGTACCAATTCAATCCCGGTGTTTAGATAATTTAATTAATGACTATTGCCAAACATCCAACGCTGTGCCAAACATTGCTCATTACGTATGGTTCTCGAAAAAAGAAATGAACTTTTATCATTTTTTGAGTTTCTTAAGCGTACTGAAACACTTAAAACCGTGTCTAATTTTAGTTCACGGGGATGTTCCCTTTGGTTTGTATTGGGAATACATTTTGATGATTACTACTAATATAATAAATGTAAAAATAAAACCACCTACCACCGTGTTTAGAAAGAAGATTGGTCGGATAGAACACCAAGCTGATGTGGCTAGGCTTCTGATCTTACAAGGTAAAGTATCAAATATATAACTATTAGCTTTTTTAGCTCCCCCCCCCCCCTAAAAAATGAATGCATTGAAAAAAAAAGATATATAGTTAAATGATAAAATTAAAAAGTAACTATATTGAAGAAGAGTACTATGATTAATTATCTTTAAACTTGAATGCATGACAAATCAAAGAAACATGTCCTTAAACAGCAACCTCCCTATGGTCTTCATTCCTCTACCTGAATATTGGCAAAATTCATGAAAATATACTCTATTTATATACCTATCTCAAAAGTCACATGATAATGTACCATTAGCATTTAGATTTAACTTTCTCTTAGAAAACTTTTCACAAGCTGTCAGGAGTTATCCTAAATTTTAGCCACAAATTGTTTCATTTTTGAAATTTCCTATGTAATATATCAAATCAGCAATTAATAACGAATTGCCTTTTTTATTTGTAGCATATGGAGGAATATATATTGATACAGACGAAATTATATTACGTTCTATGGAGGATTTAATGAATTATACCTTCACATTAAGCCACGCTGTTGACAACAATTTAAGCAACGGACTTATACTATCGGCACCAAATGCAACCTTCATTTCACTCTGGTTAGATGGATATAAAACATACAATAAAGCACAGTGGGCTTATCACTCGACGATTTTACCAAATAAACTCGCTTTAAAGCATCCAGATTTATTGCATATAGAAAATAAAACATTTGTTAGGCCAAATTATACTCAATTAAAATTATTATTTCGAAAGAATTTTAACTGGTCGAAGAATTATGGGATACATCTGTATATTCGCTTCTACAAAAGAATGCACACTTTTATGGATGTTAGACGTTTGAATACGACTATGGGATCCGTGGCGAGATATATTTTGTATGATAATAAAGAGCTATGTTTTGATGCATAATGATATTTTATCAAAGTGCTGTAAAGATTTTTCATTTGAATTTCATCCGTTAGAACAGTATTATATTTAAACGACTCTTTTAACTCTTCATAGAGAATTTTCAAGTAATACCTTTTTTCCCCTGCAGTTCAATCAAATATACGTTTGTCTTATTAATATTTTAGTCAATATAAACCCATCGTCTCAAGCCACGGTCTGGAGTCCGCAGAGAGGATATCGTACATTTTGTCCGTGGTTTGCGACGATAATATAAACGGGTTAAAATATTTCTTGAAAACAGCATCGCTGTTGATCACTAGAAATTGAAAAAAAACCCTTAATATTTTTTGAATATATTAAAAAATGACCACGATTACGTGATGAAAGATTTGAATAACAACGTATAAGAACATTTAAATGAATTTTATTTTCAAACCTGGATCCTTGAAGTCTGTTTCATTTTTCTTTATACCATAGAATGGTTACATGCAATAAATAACTGTCTCAGAAGTTGTTTCATAACTGTATAATGATTAGTTATTCAAATTTCTTCTCCAATTCAATTGCTTGAAATAGGTATGCAGTTGCATTTTAAAATGTTTTGTTTGTAATGCACTTTGTATTTACAGAGAACTGGGATTTATTTATATTTATTGAACTTAATTTTTTCCCCCATTTTTTGTTGTCTTTGGCGTGCATGATTTTATAAAATTACATTTCATTTGTTTCTATTGCACAAACAATGTTATCAATGTTAATAACAACATACAATGTCCAAGATAAGCTGTTTTAATTCATTTTGTAAAATACGTTTGTTTCTGTATTATTTATTTATTTATTTCATCAGTCTAGTCAATTGTCATATAAATAATGTTGAATTAAATTAATAAAGGATATCTTTCTTGGTTGGATTTTCATAAATGGCACCAATCGGATGGGTAGAAGAGCATAAAGCATGTTGAAGGAAGTCAGGAATCAGGAATTTCTTTCAGATTTCTTCGTCTGGGTTCACATTCATTATATAAATGTTAACCTATACTTAATGCTGCTTTATGATCGGAGAATGCAAAATGTTCAAGGTAATGTCTACTGTAACACCCACCCAACCTTTCTTTAGTGACCTTTATTGAATTTTTCAGTCAAATTCTACTGGAGCGGATCCAGGACTTTTTTTTGCATCAACTGTTACTAGGGAGGACAGCCATATAAATAACTGGCAGCCGCCGCTTAATTATATGGCGGCCGCCACATACATGTAATTAACTACATGTAGCGGTCGCAAAGTAACTTGTAGACATGTATCAAATAATGCATTGATAGTAAGAGAAACATTAACTTATTGAAAGATTTTTTTTTGTATGAAGTGTAGATACGATCTTTGCTAATAAGGTGTAATTGACTGCAAACAGGTACACTAAAGCAAGAACACTATAATTTTCTCCACCAATAATTACCCTCTGTCGTCAAATTCAAAGGGAAAAAAGTCAATGATTTTTCATACTTATCGGTCATTGAATTTAAAAATCATTTTCATAATTAGAATAAAATGATAGATTTAGACCTAACTTCATGTTAATATTTATTACGGTAGAATAAAAAAAACCGAAAGTATGACTGTGTAGCAGTTAATTAAGTGAACATATATATGGATAACCCAGATATTTCAGTAGTAGGTGCTGGGAACTTTTTTAGCGGCCGCCAAAAACTTACTTGGCGGCTGCCTGAAAAATATTTTTATTACCTGTCACCTATACCGGTTTCCATACGTAACAAATGTCAAAATGTCAAAATGCAGAGTCGGAGTTTTATTTAAGTCTAGAGAACTTGCCCAAACTTAAAAATCTTCTTTCGTGGGGGTATTTAGTCACATGCATGCTCTGTTTTGATTATATTTTAATGATATAGGTAACGATGTGGCCATTTTTACTTCTTGGGTTGTTACTAAATAGTATTTATAGACTTACGTCAACCCAAGACAAGTATTTGACGTAACGTCAAACGTACGATTTTTTGTGAATAAATTAAATCTCATGAAAAAGTCCTGCGACAGTTTTACGACTACGATCACTCGTAAGATTTTTTTTTGTGAATAGATGTCCAAATATATGTGCTTTCAAAGTAAAAACAGATAAATTTAAAAAAAAAAGAAGAAATAAATTAAATAAAATTTAAAGAAATGTTCGAAACTCCGACACTGAACTTTTCTTCTGCTGTTGCAAAGGAAAAGTAGGGTTAATAGGGGGAGATATTCTTTGTTAAAAAAGTAGAGTGAATAGGGAAAAAAACTATCGATGACATATATAATAATAAATTTAATTTTCTGATAAACATATTATCTGAGTTGTTTTATATTCTTAAATTAGTTAAGATGACTGATTCACGTCTTAATTCGAAAATCATAAGATCCACCTCTCAAAAATACTGCCATTTATTGTCCTGCGTCTCTCTTGGGGGAATCAACGGTGATTATCGTAAATTGTACTTTTATTAAGTTTACCAGTGCGTAAATTGGACGGCTTGATTTCCTATGGCAAGGGATGTAATTCTTACCTATATATTTCTAGTAAATTTCAAATTAGTATCCATGAACAAGGGAATATAGAACTGAACAAATGAAATCTATCCTCTCTGATTTTAGTTCTCTCCACAATCTTAGAAGGTTATTACAGTGTATGTCACCCAGGTGACCCTAGTCCATTTTCGACTTTCATAATCACTTACTTACTTACTTAGTCCTCTTCGTGCTGATCAACACATAAGAACGCCACCAGAGACTTCCATGTTGGTATGTCTTGTGTCCATCTCTGGACCTGCCCCCATGTCGAGTTGTTTTCTCTTATATCTTTCTCCACTGGTCTCTTTTAGTCTTCCTCTCTTTCTCTTACCGGTTGGTGTCAATCTCAATGCAACAGTTGGGATGGAGTTTGGGTGCATACGACATTATATTATGTGTCCTATCCACAGTCATTTTCTTTTCTTTATAACTTTGGATGGAGGAGTGGTGTTAGTGACTTTCATGATCCGTAAACTTTTAAACATTTTTGATTTTTTTAATAGGTCATGGTAAATTTAAAAATCTTTTAAAAATGTTCCGAAATTTAAAAATGCAACAATTTGATAAATTGATATTAAAGTAGAATTCATTCCTATTTGTTCACAGTTTGAACAGGATGGGCCATAATAGAGATTCCAAGCTTTCTATAAACTATGCCAGGAAAATATTGAAAATCTGTTTTCTCAACAACAAAATTTCTACAAAATGTGAAATTGATATGCAATTATTCTCATTTAGTAAAATTGTTTGTTATTATAATGGTATCGGAAATTCAGATAGGCTACAATTAGGTGTCGAGATTTCACAGAGAAATACATTTATAAAGTAATCTTTTACATGTGTGTAAAATCTTTGCCTAAGAAAAATCATAGCAGAAATCGTTAAATTGATATGAAAAGGTCCCCATTCCGAAGAGAAGATTTAGTTTAGTTCAGATTATAAATTCAGAGACACATAATAGGCCAGCTATAGCGGGATTCAACCTTTACTTGGAATATACAGAGGAAATATGCCTTTCTCTGTAAGGTAAAAGACTAAAAAATGTCAAATTTAAATGATCATCCCTGGAGCATAGGTAATTAAAAGAACAAGGGTTAAAACTTCTATACATAATATACAATATTTTCAATTGAAATGTTTGATTCTCTGCAGAAAACAGTGACACCGGAGAGACAGGTGGCCGCTAGGAACAGTCTGGACACGTGTACCAAGGGGCAACTTCCCTTTGTACAATCTTTGTGACTGGACACCGAAATTTGGTACGACGGAACAAAATGTTCAACACCCCATTGCCTCCCGAGAGGGGAGGACGATGAGAGGCTCGAACAGGCAAATCTAATGGCAACAACAAAGAACAACCCATGGACTGTGAGAAAGATGGTGCAACGAACAGATGGAGGAAAGACTGAAATGAGATGTACGTGTGGTAAAGTCTGCAAAAACATCCGAGTACTGAGGATATAACAAACAAGAAATCGATGTGATAATTTGACAACCCAGACACAGCTCACAGAACCAACTGATGAGACGCAGGAGGATCCTAGCCAGGACTCAACCCAGAGAACCTGAAACCTCGCCGTGTCTGAGTCGTCCCAAGACGGCAACAGCGACTTAATTGATGGAGATCTTGGTCTTCGAGCTAGCCAGGGCCAGCAAACGTAAAAGGAACATCAAGGAAAAGAGGCTAAGAATATCATGATCGAAAGGAGATGATTAAGAAGTGTGGAGTGACTTCGATCAAGATGTCAACAGTGCAAGGGAATGTAGAGAGGAAGATAGAGATATTTACTAACATGGTGTATAACATTGGGAAAGAGCGTTTGGGAAAAAGAAAAGAAAGTCCAGAATTGAGCACAAAAATTAGACCCCAAATAGGCGAGAGCGAAAGATCAGAGAATGTCGACAAGATCTAAAAATGCTGAATAAACAGTTTAGAAGAGCAAAGTGCTGTAAAATGCAGGAATAGAACAGCTGACGGATGGCATTAGGTCAGGGCTTTCGAGGCTACGGAGAGCGGAGCAACTGAGGAAGAAGAAGAAGAAGGGAAAGAAGAGCAGGGCAAGATTTGTTAAGAATCCATATAAGTTTACAAAGGAGCTTCTAGGTGAAGAAAGATCAGAAAAACCCTCACTGTCCAAAGGAAAATTATTTAGGGGTACATGTATTTACATAAAAATACTCTGACCAACTGAGAGAAGAACTACTGGGTCAGTGCCCACATGAGATGAAAGTGGATCCACAAGAGGCTATGATGGATGTGAAGGAGCCTACATGGAAGTAGTTGAAGGAAGTTGTCAGGAAAGCAAGACCAGGCTCAGCTCCCGGACCAAATGGGATACCATACATAGTGTATAAGAGCTGCCCAAAGTTACTTAAGAAATTGGGGCAGCTTTTCCGAGCAATCTTGAGAAAAGGGACAATACCAGTATGGTGGAAAGAGGCAGACAGATGTTTTGTACCGAAAGAAAAGAACTCTAAGACAATCAACAAGTTTAAAACAATTTCTTTGGTAAATGTGGAGGTGAAAATGTTCATGTCAGTGTTAGCAAAGCAAGTATCAAAGTACATGTTAGACAACAGAAACATAGATACATTTATACAAAAGGCAGGAGATTCGTAGATTACATAAGTGTCCTAAGCCAGCTAGTCGAGGAGGCCAAGGAAGGCAAGTAAACATTGCAGCAGTTTGGTTAGACCTATCCAACGCTTATGGATCTGTGCCCTACAAGCTGATTGAGTCAGCGATGGAGCTGTACTATATGCCAGAGAAGGTTAAGGGGATTGTCAAGAGCTACTTCGGAGGAATGCAGTCATCACTGTTGATGACTACACCACATACTGGCAAAGAGTAGAGAAAGGGATAGACACAGGATATACAATCTCTTCTATCCTGTTTGTAATGGGTAAGGGGATGGTGACCAGAACTGCAGAAAGAGAAACGAGAGGACCAAGGATGGACTCGGGAATTTATCAGCCACCAATCAGACATCCTCACAACGTCAGGGGTCTTGAGTCAACACGTTGCCTTTGAACCCCTGACAAATTTCATTCGATATCTTGCGGACTGACTGCAACGACATCTTCCGGAAAAATTAAAAATCTTGATGGTTTTTCTTATCTCTCAACCTATCAC